GTTCCTCATTTTGATGATTTCAGAAACTTATCCATTCTAAATGACCTCTTCTGGATACAGTGTAATTGTAAACACTCCTCTTTGATCAAGGTGCTTAGAACAATACAGCATCAAATATGGTGGACAATTTCTGGCAAGAAGGCAGAGTACAATAATAGATCGCCCACTCATCAAAATACATCAAAGACTTGTGAGTGCTGAATGATGTGTAACGTAAAGATTCCAAACAACATAGTTAAGCTTAAAGGAGACTGCCTGTAACAAAGGGAAGCACTGAACACAGAAGAGTAAGAGTGAGCTGGCAGAGGGGCAGCTCATGGGTGTTTTGGTCCTGGTTTTGCAAAGATGCTGGTAGCTAGTTTCCTAATGCCCAGGCAGGGACGGGAGACTTTGCCTTCTGATAGTGGATGGTGACACCCTGCAAAAGAGGTCCCCTGCAAAGAGTGGGATCCTCGAACAGGTGTAAAGTTTATGACAAAGGGACAAGAAAACCCTTTTCTGCTGGCCCTAGGAAATGTTGAAAATACTTGCTAGAGTATTGGGTAAAATAATAATTTAAAAAGTCCCGGAGAGACTAAAACCCCAGGCATGTGATGTGCACTGATTTGGGGCCTCAATATTTTGTTGTCTACATAGAGTATAAACCACAAATTGAGAAATTAACACAAGAACTGGTCCCTAGCTGTTGACATTCCTAGGGCCTTGGCAGAAGCAAATACAAAATAGACTTTTTTACAACCTAGAGCAAATGGTACTCTCACAGAGGAAAAAAATGAGAAAACATCAGCAAAACCCTCTATAAAGATAAGGACAGTAAAAAGGACAAGTTACACTGGGAAGAGAATCAGCACAGAGTGAGAAAATTTACTTCTCAAGAACTGAAGCTAATAACATAATGTGAAAAAGATAAAATAAGTATGCTTAAAATGTGTAATAAGCTAAAAGAAGGAATAGAAGGCATAATAAAAAATATAGTTTGATAAAAAGAACAGAAGCATTTATAAGAATAATCAAATCAATTTTCAATAGATCCTATGAACCAAATAGATAAAATAAGTATGCTTAAAATGTGTAATAAGCTAAAAGAAGGAATAGAAGGCATAATAAAAATATAGTTTGATAAAAAGAACAGAAGCATTTATAAGAATAATCAAATCAATTTTCAATAGATCCTATGAACCAAATAGCGCCAAATCAAACAAGTCAAAGTTCAGGCTATACAGGCATTTCCATAGTATTTGAGTCCAATTGGTCTTGTTCAGGGTGTGATGGCAACTAAGGACCATTTAGTTTGGTATAGAATGCTCTGATTTAAAGAGTTATCCAATTTTGTTACTACATGATGAGTTATGGAGTACAGAACTTTCAATAACGAAAGCTTTAAGGACTCAGGAGGACCAGGAGGCCATTCAGTCTCTCCATGAGTCTGCACTTAACATTGGATTTATATCCTCTTAAATACTGATTTTGTTTTTCCAATTTAGGTGCATAGCACTGCTTATTTCGTAGGTTATCAAAGGTTATTTGACTTGGATCAATCTTATGGGGTTTATTCAAATTTCATATCTTAACAATTTCAGTACCGGCTAACTTAGCATGAAAATCTGTCAACGCATTTCCTTGTTACTCATTTCTTGTTCTGCTAGATGTTGGGTTAGCAGGTTTGTAAAACCAGCTTCTTCATGAGAGTTCCGAGAATTCTCATACAGTCCAATGGCATAATATTAAAATTATTAGAAACCTGTACATGTCAAAGTCCTTTCCATGAACCTCCTTGAAAATGAAACATTTAAGGTTTATCGTTGCTCAAGAAAGTACCAGAGTAAACAATTAACGAAGACAAAATGGCCACAGTTAAAGACATAATGAGAGTTCATTACCATGATGACACAGTAGACAAGGAAACTTGGCTATTTCTGTTGCATACAACATTTTGAGATACAACTAAAATTATGACTGATACCAGTATACAATAACTAATAAATTTCTATGAATTTCATACAATTTCTAAAACACATCTCTGTATATTCACAGATTTCATATCTGTTAATTCAACCAACTTCAGATCAAAAAAATTAAATAAAAAAATACGATAAAAATAATAGAAATAAATAATACAGTATAACAACTATTTACATAGTATTTATGCTGTATTCCACATTCTAAGTAATGCAGAGCTGATTTATACTATATGGATTGTGTAGGTTATATGCAAATATAAAAATATAAAAAAAATTTTTGTATGAGGTACTTGAGCATCCATGAATTTTGGTATCCCCCTATGGATACTCATTATTTGACAGTGCTTTCCATATAATTATCATATCAAATAACGTCAATTAGTTTTATAATCCTCTTTTTATAAGGAAAGGTATCCTTTGAGAACTTCCAAGGCCCATCTTGAAAAATCCCAAAGTTAATTTGAGGTCAAGAAAAAGACTTAATTTAGAATTTGATTTTGGGAAGTTCGCCAAAAATATCAAACTTTTAAAACACTTGATCAAAATAGCATCATAGGTGACTGTGAAATAACAATTATTCATTTAACCAAAGTGATAATTAAAAGATTTCAAGGGCAGGGCCGGCCCCATGGCTCACTCAGGAGAGTGAGGTGCTGGTAGTGCCCAGGCTGCGGGTTCGGATCCTATATAGGGATGGCCGGTGCGCTCACTGGCTGAGCGTGGTGCAGAGCACACCATGTTGAGGGTTGCGATCCTCTTACCGGTCCAAAAAAAAAAAAAAAAAAGATTTCAAGGGCTAATACATAAAGTTAAATAGTTGTTGGAAAGATCTTAGCCCTTTAATAGAAAGGGTTCAGTTTTCTGAAGTGATCAAAATCTTCTTAAAGACAAAATAAAGCCCAGGGAATAACCTTGGTAAAACATAGAATCTTTGTTTCCTTGTCCAGTTACTAAAAAGGTAAAGAAAAACCTTTCACTATTTTCTATTAAGAGCAAAGGACAATACTTCAAGTAAAACTTGTTTGAACATAGAGAATTGAAATCTAGTTTTGCATCAGTGAACTTTTGATACTAATGCTTAATTTTTAGAAAAACATAAATAATTTCCTGCTAATTGAAACCAGCTTGATCACACGTAAAATTCCTTTCACAAGACTCAACTTCCAGAAACCTTCTACAACTTTCTTATTCATTCAGTTTTTGACCTGTACTTTTTCTCTTCTCATTTTGAAACAACCAATCTTTCTACTTTAGGACAAATTTTTTACCTTTAACAAAATGACATCTTCCGTTCCTCATAGCTCCACTTACCAAAAACATGTCTTACTTTCCTTGCATACAAAGGTATTTCCCTTACTATTTCTAGTTTTAATTACTGTATATTAATTAAAATTTTTAACTCTTAGTAACCTTAATTTCTAGTAAAAAGAAGGAAAGCAATTTTGGACTGTCTGTCATATACCAACATTTTATGAATATACATTTCATCATTTCTATAAAAATGGACTTTCTCATAGGACATTTTTTTTCATGTTTACTAACAGACCTGAGTATATTTAGCTTCTCTAAACTGGGAAAGACATGATGCCTAAATATATATAAAAATAAGATGCCTAAATATTTATATAATTAAAATGAGAAATAGTAGGGAAATAACTTCGTATGCAAGGAAAATAAACTTATGTTCAACAATTAATGTTTCAGTATTTTAACTCAGAAATAACTCAGACACTTTATAAACATCTATTACTTAATTTAACATAACATACCTTTAATATTTCAAATTACTGTAAAAGATTTTTGAAATGATAAGTTCATTTACAAATTTTATGCCATTTACATTCACCCAATCTACTTGTTCTTAACAATTATGCTCAAATTGCTCATTAAACAAAGCTAGCCATTGAAGGAGTTCAGGAAATGCCACCCCAAAATGTGCATATTGGTATACAAATTTTTGGTGTATTGATTACTTTGAGTTGATGGTAGTTGAAAAACAGTAGAATGCAGAGGCTTTCACAGTTCTCCTCCATTTGCCCAAAGACAGATCCTATAAAAGGAGCTCAGTTGTCATGAATCTTCTGAAGATTAACTCTTGCCACATGACAGAAGGCCAGAAGTCCACCACAGCTAGACAGACCTTGTCACAAACCATCATCTATTTTTTAGAGGCCCATTCATCTTTTCCAAAACCATTTCCACCGAGAATCTCTCTTTTCTTCACCTCTGTCCATTTCTCCCTTTACAGCAGGGTGTGGGTGAGATGAGTCAAGGGACACTTGCTCTTTTCTTGATTGATCTGCCTGATTATTGCTCTAAGCAATTGCTGGCTAGATTTCTCCTTCTATTCTCTGTCCTCAATCTTTAAAAATTTTTCTAAACCGGGGTATATAGAGCAAACAGTTTTCGGGTCCTGTAATGTTGGAGGACCAGTAGGGGGTCTGATAGAGTTTGGATGTTATTGTCCCCCCAAAACTCATGTGGAAATGTGATCCCCAACTTGGCAATGTTGGGAGCATTTTTGGTCATGGGGACAGATCCCTCATGAAAGGATGAATGCTCATGGGGGTGGGGGGCAGCTAGTGAGTGAATTCTTAAACTATTAGTTCCATGAAGAGCTGGTTGTTTAATGGACCCTAGCACTTACCCTCTCTCTCTTTCTGGCTTCCTCTCACCATGTGATCTGCTTGTACCTGCTGGCTGCTTGCCACGTTCTGCCATGAGTAGAAGCAGCCTGAAGCCCACGCCAGATGCAGCTTTATAAATTACCCAATCTCAGGTATTCTGTTATAGCAACACAAAAATGAACTAATACAGAAAATTGGTACCAGAAGTGGGGTCAGAGTCCTCACAGAGAACCTCCACCAGGGAAATGTCTAGTAGAGCCAAGGCAGCATGGCTGACTCCAGGACTCCAGAACTTAAGGGCCACTGGCAACATGCAACACCTGGAAAAGCCACAGGTACCTGGCAAAGTTGTGTTGTGGGGCTGCCCTGGGCTTTGGGGCCCAGATGCCTCACTGTGCCCAGGATGCAGGTCTTGTAGTCAAAGATTATTTTGTAGCTTTAAGATTTAACATCTGCCCTGCTGGGTTTTGGAATTGTTTGGGGCCTGTTTCCCCTTTCTTCTGGCCTATTCCTCCCTCCGAAATGGGAACATGTACCCAATGTCTGTTCCACCATTGTATCTTGGAAGTAGATAAATTTGTTTTTGATTTTTACAGATTCACAGCTGGAAGGAATTTTCCCTTTGGTCTCAGATGAGACTCTGGACTTTTGAGTTGGTGCTGTAACAAGCTAAGACTTTTGGTACTGTTGGGATGAAATGATTGTATTTTGTATGTGAGTGACATGAGTTTTGGGTGGCCAGGGATGGAACGATAGAGTTTGGATGTGTTGTCCCCCCAAAACTCATGTAGAAATCTGATCCCCAACTTGGCAATGTTGGGAGCAGTTTGGGTCATGCGGGCTGATCCCTCATGAATGGGTTAATGCTGTCCCTGGGTGGAGGGGGTAGTGAATGAGTTCTCACTCTATTAGTTCCCACCAGAACTGGTTGTTTAGTGGACCCTGGCACCTCCCCTCTTTCTCTTGCCTCCTCTCCCCATGTGATCTGCCTGAATCTGCCAGCTGCCTGCCACTTTCTGCCATGTGGCCCATGCCAGATGCAGCTGTCCCAGAATCATAAGCCAAGTAAATCTCTTTTCTTTATAAATTAGCCAGTCTCAGGTATTCTGTTATAGCAACACAAAAATGAACTAATACAGGGTCCCTCTGGTCTGTCCAACCTTTGGTAGATTTAAACTTTGTTTTAAAAGCATCACTATCTATTTTACTCATTCTATTTAAATAACTATCTAAAAGTTTTCTACCTTAAATTTGTATTTCCAAAGGGATGGATTTTAGATAAAACAAGGTACAAAATCTTCATTGAGACAGGAGCTAGAGACAAGCTGGTTGTGAAAGGTACTGAAGTGAGTCAGGACTGCTTGGACACCCACCATGGCTCTTTGCAGCTGGAACAGCTAAAGGCGAGGGAGACCATCTGGCAGAAGCAAACTGCCAGCAAGCCAGAGTGGAGTCCTGCCTGTGTCAGGGTTTGGGAATTGGTTGGCAACCTGAACAAAAGGAACCTGAGGTGAGCATGTGGGGCAGGGCGCGGGGCGAACAGAGGAGAGTGGAGGTCAGAATAGCGTGCTCGGCTGAGCTCCGCTAGATTCCCACGCCCAGCAACATTAGGCACCTGCTGTTTATGCTGCTCTGGGGGCTCCCCCAGCTTGGGGGAAGTTTCAAGAGTGAATGGAAGGAGGGTTCCCAGGTACGCGCCGGGGAGGGTGGAGAGAGGGAGCTCCGCTGGGATTGAGGGCGACGCACTTTGGGGCTGAAGGAGGCGTGGCTCACGGCAGGAGACCGAAGCCCATTGGGTGATCCAGTCTGCGTCTCCCAGCTCCGGGGAGAGGGACTGGGGCTCAGAGCTCGCAGACACCGCACCTCCTAAGAAGCTAATCCAGCGTGGTTTCTTTCTTTCTTCCTTCCCCTTATGCCGTCTGCTCTCCTGGCCACCCGTGCACTCCTCCAATCTTCACTCTCTCTCAGTCCTGCAAAGGAGTTTCCCGGTCCGCTGCCTCCAGATCTCGTCCTTCAGCAGCAGCAGGAGGTGCACGGACTGCTTGGTGTGGCTGGGGGAGCTGCAGACCCACAGTTGGAGCAATGACTCGGACACCCTCCAGTTACTGAAGCCCTTCCTGGTCTCAGGGAAAATTCAGGGACCAGCAGTGGGAGACGCTGCAGCACATATTTCAGGTTTACCGAAGCAGCTTCATCAGGGACATTCGGGAATTGGCCAAAAAGGTGCACATAGTCTGTGAGCTGAGGGATGGGATCCTGCGCATGTATCCAAGGGGAAAGAGTGGATGCAGAAGCCCAGCTGGGAGTCTGTGGCCCCACCTGATGAGACTCTCCACTCTCTCTGCCCTCTTCTGATGTCCTCTTCTGCCTGGAGACCTCCCAGCCGCTGACTTCTAATAGGATCTCTTGTTCTTTCCTGCTCTAACTCTCATTTCCCTGAACTCTGAGTTTCCAGTTTAATCCTCACACCAATTTGTTTTCCAGTTTTTAAAATCTTTCTTTGATTTGTATTCCTCTTCTCAGATCCCATTGAGATCCAGGTGTCTGCTGGCTGTGAAGTGCATCCTCGGAGAGATTCAGAAAGTTTCTTGCACGTGGCATTTCAAGGGAGAGATATTATGAGTTTCTAGGAATCTTCTTGGAATCCAGCCCTGGATGCCCCACAGTGGGCCGAGATTGCCCACAGAATGCTCAACAAGTACGAAGGGACTCGGAAAATGATACAGCAGCTCCTCAGTGACACTTGCCTCCAGTTTGTCAGTCGCCTCCTTGAGGCAGGGAAGTCAGAACTGGAGAAGCAAGGTCAGCCTGCCTTTCTTACTCCCTGTGCTCCACTTTGGGGCTCCATCCAGGTTTTTGCACTCCAGGATTCTTATCCCTTTGAGCACCAGAGGAAGCAAGGGGCCCAGGAGGGGGTGGATAAGGCATGAGGCTATTTATTCATTCCACAGACATTAACTGAGTGCCTCTTGGGGTCCATGAATTTAATTAAATAAACACCAAGTGTCAAAATTGAGTCAGGCAGGCAGAATCTCTGCTGGTGTGAGAGGATGAGAAGATAGATTAACAATTAAAGCAATATTTGAAACCTGCTACAGCTGAATACAGGGTGTTATAGGACTACAGAGGAGGGGCATTTACTGGAGACTGATTTCAGGGAAGGAATGACTATCAGGGAAGGAATGACTATCAGGGAAGGAATGACTATCAGGAAAGTCTCTCCTGAAGAATGTGACACAAGTGGATTGAAGTTATGAGAGGCTTCATCTCTAGAAGTGGAAATGTGGGAAGCATGAGCCTGGCATGAAGCCTGGAGGCTGGACTGAGAGTGCTTACTTTAAGCTCGCCCTTCTCTTACTAGATACAGTGAAGTCCAAGGCCTGGCTGTCCAGTGGCCCCACTCCTGAGCCTGGCTATCAGCTGCTGGTGTGCTATGTCTCCGGATTCTACGCAAAACCCATGTGGGTGATGTGGATGTGGGGTGAGCAGGAGAAGCCAGGCACTCAGGGAGGTGACATCCTGCCCAATGCTGATGGGACATGGTATCTCTTAGTGACCCTGGATGTCCTGGCTGGGGATGCAGCTGGCTTGACTTTCCAGGTGAAGCACAGCAGTCTAGGAGGCCAGGACATCATGCTCTACTGGGGTGAGAAAGAACTGGGACCCAGGCTGCAAATGGGCACAAGCGGTCCTCAGGCATAGAGGAAGGGACTGGGGAAGGGTGGGGCTTGACACATCCAGGATAGAGTTACAGATATGAGGCACCCAACCAGATGGGGTAGAAGAAGGGGATTCCAGATACAGGGAGGAAGGAAACAAAGACCTGAAATTCATAAAGGATTGAGATAAGATTCTCCATATAGAAGAATAAATGAGACTAAAATCTCGGAGATCCAGTAGTTAAGTGGGAAATAAAAAATCCAAGAGGATTCATTTTTCAGCAGAGAGAAGACAAAGGACTTTAGAAAGACAGGTTAATAAAAATAGCTGTGGTTTAATGACCGCTTGCTTCATGTGGGCTGACCACTCTGCATACAGCAGTTTGTCTAACCATCAGAACTCTCCTTTGAAGCCAGTACTGTTATTCTGTTTTATAGATGAGGAAATTGTGGCTAAGACAGATTAATTGCATAGAGATACGTAGGAACTAGAAGGGCTAGATTTAGACTCAGGTCTTCCTAGCTACAAAGCTGCTGCCCCTGCCCTCTGTGCTACACTATCATATGCTGAAGTGAGCTGAATTGGGGATACCCAGCCCCTGAAAAAAGATGGGGAATCTAAACTTATGAAGAATAGAAATAGTCTCTTTAAATGGAAGAGGAAATAAGAAGCACCTGGCATCCACACGTGTTTGGACAAGGAGATTTGACACAGGGAGAGGTCTTGTGCTGACAGACATCTCACGTTCCCCCAAAGAAGATGGGAGCCACCTCTCCATAGGCATAATCATCTTGACAATACTGGCATGCCTGGCCTTCCTTCCTGTGCTCATTGTAGGCTTAACCTTCTGGTTTAAGAGGCACCAGTAAGTCTCTCCTTTCTGTCTCCTCCTTCACTGAACCTCTCTCTCTTCCATTCCCTGCTCTCCTTTTCTCTAAGGGTCTCTCCTTTCTATTCCCTGAAAGCTCCTGTCAAGACATCCTGTGACTCTCCTCACCATTCCTGTCTCCCTGGAACAAAGGACCTCAAGTTCCCAGGACTTCAGTCCTGGTCTGTCCAGGAATTGAGGATGAAAGGAGAGGTTTCTTGAAGAAGTGGGGAATAATCATAAGGCAGCTCTCACCGCATCCTTTTAATAGTTACCTAAAGGAATTTAAGTTCTCTTTCATAATTACTACAAGTTTATAAGCCCAAGTACTTTTGTAAAATTTGGTCTGCAATCTCAGACACCTTCCAGGGACAAGCAGATAAGGGCTGGGGTGTGAGTGTGTGCATGGTCATTGTATGAATGACGGAATCTGCAATAAACTGGAAGTCACATTTCCTGTCCAAAGGAAACAGCTGCTTGTTGTCGAGTGTAAAGTCAGGCCCTGGCTTGGCTGTAACTTTTTTTCAAGAAAACTGAAAATCTGGATATTTATGTGAACATGCCTGATTTTAAAATGTTGACTCAAGTTTTTACAAAATAATGTGTGGGACACCCCAAATACACACCTGCTGGCTGATGACAACCCAGGGGCTCCCAGTTTGTATCTCTTTTGTAAAGTTTGCCCTGAATGATATAATGGCAGTTTTAGAACACAGGTTCTACTGTGAATTTGGATTTACAGCTGAAGGACATTTTCTGTTTAAAAGAAATTTAGGTTGTAAGAAGCAGAAGTTTCTCAAGCTTTTACTTGACATAACTTTATTGAAAGAGGGGAAATCATGGTTTATATGTACTATGTTGAAAAGAGCTGCTCTGGATAGG